CGTCTACAATATGCATTCAAGTTTTAATGAATTCTGTTAAATATGTGTAACACATACGCGTTAAACATTCTCGCAAACGATAATAACTTTTTGACACAACATAGTTTTTATAGTTAGATAGATATTAATTCTTGGAACTGACAATAAAATATGGTAACATTTAGGCAATGAGAGAAATATAAAGACAACGAAATCAAATTGTATTTCTCATATTGAATTGAGCACGAGGAAATTATTGATCAGTAGATATAGTAAGCCGAGAAAGAGGCAACGGAAAAAGTGTCTCTGTGGACACACAGATAGGGCTGACAAGTTACGAGTTTTCATGTAATTTCGCTGAAAGCATTAATTTGGATTAAAAAATCGTCTTCTCCGAGGGAAGACGAGATCCTTCAGGAAACTGTAAGCCCCGCGCGATTGAAGCTAATGGCTCGTACACGGCACGTGCACTGCGCGAGAACGAAGGAATTAAACGCCTCATTTCTTGACGGTGCCCGGCGCCCATGTTTTTGTGTTTTCTCACATCGTTATAAGCGACGACGGAATTAGTGAGGGTTATATTTCATCCGGCAATTCTCGGATGCGTTAACGATGACGGCAAATAACATTTTACGTTTAGGTAGTGTTGCATCGCAGCGAGAAATATTGACAAATGTGATTAACGATCTTTTTTTTTTAAAGATTATACTAAAACTTTGTAAATAATATGTTGATTCATAATGCGTCATAGCTGCGTGGTTTCGTCCAAATTTATCAAAAAGAAAGTTCAGAAGAACTAAAAAGAGGACTAAAAATAAGATTCACTGTTGATCAGTCTTCATTACGACGAAACGACGAGGAAAGTTCTCACACCAGCGCGAGAAGTCTCATTAGATTCTACTGCTGAAGTTTCGTAGAAGTTGACTTTCGAAATATCGGCAAACGATGAACGCGCAGCATCACAACGAGTAAGCGGTAGAAAGAGACGGAGACAAAGGCTAGGGAGAGAGCTGCGAGAAGTTCTTGTTGCAATCGAACGTACGCAGGAGAAATCGTGAGTAGTCGAAATTACCGCGTCATAATGCACTCGCGGCTCTTTGCTCTTCGCAGCTATAAATCTTCCATCTAATCAGCGGCAATCGTGATTTGGAGGATTACTGTAACGTTGACGATTTAATTTTTAAGATCTTCTTGAATAATTTATCTGTGTCGCATTTTCTATGTAAAATTTTTAAATAAGAAATTCGTTTTTTCTAAAATAGTAAGTAAATTAAAGATAAATTATTTTAAATTATGTACGTTATATTATACATATATTATGAACATAATTAATTTATTGATTCATTCATTCATTTATGATTGATTATTGATTCATTTGTTCATTTGTTGATTTCTGGATTAGTTTAATTCTGCAATTTAAAAATAGGGTTCGTTAAAAATATTTATGAAAGTTTTAATAGAAAAAGGAAAATTCTTTAATTATTTCTTTTTTTCTATTAGATGTACTTTACATTCGAGAAAGGGAAATTATGTATCGTATAATATTTTAAAAATGTGTAAAATTACTAAACAATAATTACAAATTATATTAAAAAAAGTAATTTTGGAACAATTTTTTTAGAAGTGTGCGTGCTACATCTAACTACATGCTACACATAACTATGTGCTATATATAACTGTGACAATCAAAATACACGTTTCTCTATCTTTCGCGTGAGTTCTTCTATTCGATCACGTGAAATTCTCGAACGAAATGGAATAACTCAGGACAAAAGTGTCGAATCGAATCGAACGATTTGCTAAAAGTGTTCACGTTCAACGTGAGCTATGGAATAGCGAAGGGAGAGGAACTACTCCGACGTCGTCGGGAAAAGCTTATGCAAGAGCGTAACGCAAATCGTGAGGACGGGAGCGAGACGCGAGAGGATGAAGAGGCGGAGGGCGGAGAGGAAGATGGAGAGGCAATAAGTGTAGGACTCCGCAGATGCGGTTTCCGATAGTCATCGGTACATCGTATAAATCTACTTAACAATGGACAGAGTGCACTCTGCGCGCGAACGGCGCCGCGGAGCAAATGCGCGAGCGAGAGAGCGCCAATAAAAATCAACATGCCGCCGTTCATGCTTCAAGGAGAGACCCATTCGCCACACTTTACCCGGGTATACCGGGTGGATATACGCTGTACATATACATAGATATATACTCGGCGTTCAGACGCGGCGGAATAGATCGTGACGCGGTCTCCGTGGTGGTTCAATCACTTTGAAGTAATGACACACACGGCAAAGCCGGCGACGCGACTCCGGGGGTAACACGCCTCCGTTCTTCTGCCACCTGCTAGAAGACTGCCGCCTGTCACTACATATCGTCGCGATATTAGCGATCGTCGTACACAACTATCGATACGTAAGGCGCTACTTTGGACTATATGATATCGGTGCGCGCGTCGGGTTCAGCGAGCGCTAAGCGGTCCCTTTGTGTCACGCGATCACGAAAGCTCGCGGAGTAATAGAAACGGGGGATCTGTCGCGGTGTGAAGAACCAGCGCGATCGACGTTCGTCGCAGCCGAGCATCAGTAATATCGGAGTGCGATCGCGACGATAAAGGCTCGACAGCGTTCCCTCGAGTAGACGCTCAAATTGCTAAGTCGCCACGTCGCAACGGGAACAGCGGAAGGGAATCGACAGCTTTCGCGCGTCAAAGAACACCTTGCATGTTAAATGAAAAAAGACGCTCTTCAGTCGAGCGCGAAGCGAAGCGATTGTTGGCCGGGCTCTCTTCGTCTTCTCTCGTATACATATATATAGCATCGGATCCAGGTGGCTGTGTGCACATATATACGTATACAAATATACGGGAATCCGGCTGCTTGGAAATGCGCCACTATTAAAGCGCATCCCTCGCGCGTTTCCCGACCCGCGCGCGCTGCGCCGTTCGTTGATATGCAGACGATGACACGCTTTCCGGTTCCGGCAGATTCCGCACTCCCGTCTCGTATATCGCCGCGCGAAGAGAGCCGGCTGGATCCCACCCTCGCAAATCCTCCAGGGACCGCTTCGAGACGTACCAGCCTGCACTCTCGTCCATTTTTCATCGCGGCTGGAATATACGAGCGATCGTTATCGCCTTCGTAAGGAGGAGAGAAGAGTACGTCCAACGGTTTTATTAATGGACACGTTTCGGCCCTCTCGCTGCTGACCCCCGCGACTGACCCCAACCCCCCCCCCCCTCTTCTGTCCCCGAAAAAATTGTGCACACCGAATCTTATCGATAATATTTTCGATGGTGTAGGAGTATACACGGATAATTACAGCCGGATAATTTCGCCGAATCAGCGAAGGACGAATCGTAGAGCACTCGCGAGTTAAATTCAATCGTAACTGTTTACGTCTCTATAAACCGTTTAAATTTTGCATGAAAATCGTTGCTGGCTGGGTACGACAGCAATATAGATTTAAAAATCACCTCGAGTGTATGCGATGTCCATGTTAACGGCGTTAATTAAGCATTGGTGCGGATAGGTGCTTCACGCACGGTACATTGAGTGCACTCCAAATTGTCGGGCTCTTGCGATTTTTTATAAAGTCAATTCCACGAGAGTTGATTTTAATTCATAAGAGAGCGAGAGACAGAGAGATAGAGATAGATAGATAGATAGATAGATAGATAGATAGATAGTTAGAGAGAGAGAGAGAGAGAGAGAGAGAGAGAAGTAGATCTTTAAAATTTTTTAAAAATCTTGAAAAAAATTACAAAATTAATTTTTTTTGAAAATTAAATTTTTAACTGCTTATTTAATAATAAATGATGCAAAATCTTTCGCGCGTGCTTTATTATAAAACATTTTAAATTCTCTCTTTTCTCTTTTTCTTTTTTAAGATAGAGAATATAAGAATCTTTTCAAAAAGATCTAAAAGAGTTTAAGATTATGTTTAGAGGTTGTACTTATTTATTTACAAATTAAATTTGCAATAAATAATAGATATATGTATTATTTTCACTTGTAAATTACGTACAAGTCTTTTATTCGAAAATTTATTTTTAATTATGAAATATGCAATTAAATTAGCGTTGAGGTAAGAAAACAGATTTATGAGAAATTATTATGATGTATACACTGTAAACACACGAGAAACAATTCAAAACAAGGTTCGCAAGCGGCAAAATACATAGTGTTTTAACCAGAGCAAAGAAATATTGTTTTCCGCGTATCTTTTTATTTACATTTTCTCGTATTTTTCCTGGAACCCTTTAACCGCCTCACCAGGTGAAACTTTTCTAATCCGCGGCCCTCGGGATAGCGGCGGAGACGAGACCCGGGGAATCTCGGGGCGTTTCCGCATCCCGATGAAAAACACGAGATTCCGTTACGTACTTACACGCCAACGTCTCGTCGAGGCGTTTTCGGCGGAGGACGGCCGCACACCGGGCGCTCCGCGGGGCTGTGAAAAGTTTCCTCGTCGCGCTGGGAACACGATCAGGCGATACATCGCCGGTACGTGCCGTGTATATCGAAACGGCCGTCGGTTAACGTCGACTCTCGTGCATACGCGAACACATACTCTGAAACACATACGCGCGCGTATCATGTATTAACACACACGACGAAGACGTAGCGCTCGCACGTGCGCGCACGGTTTTGTACTGCACTCGCGGACCGCATCTACGTAAAGAGGCCCTTATGCTAGAGATACCTACCTCGATACTACCCAAGTATCGGTGAAAATAAAGTATCAATAATTTATACCGATACGCAATGATCTATTTTCAATATTAATCACATATCGATACTTGGAAAGCAATGTCAAGTAGAAAATAATAATACGTTTGAAACGCTATAAATAAAGAACATGTATAAATTTTTCATCAAGTATAGTTTTTAAATATCTTTTACGTGTTAATATTTTTGACATTTAAATTATTTATTCTACTCGTTATCGCGCTATTTTTCACATTTACATATTTTCTTTTTGCTTTACTATGAGCAATTTCTTGACTACAAAATATAGAAGCAGTAATATTAAGCATGTTGTCATTTTTATTAAATTTTAGTATTTTTAGCTATACTTTCTATAATATGAATTACCAGTAATCAAGAGCAAAACCGGTGATTTTTAATATCTCGCGCTTATGGATGCGCACGTCGCGGTCTTCTGTCTTTTCTTCGCCATTCTCCCCATGTCCCCTGCGTCTCCTCCGGAAACAATGCGGCGTCTCTGTTGGAGTAGTCGTGTGGAAAATTCGGGCGTTGCGTTAAGTGGCCACCTAGGCGCGGGTCTCTTTTTTTTCCACCGCGATGTTTCTCCTCGGCTTTAAACGGGACGATACAATGGCGCGAACTCGCTGTCTTGTTTCTTCGTCCTGCCATCTGATTCCCTCGGTCTTCTCTGGCCCCCTTTCACTTCTCCACGTTATACCTACCGCGTTCCGCAAATCACATTAGCGTCAGACGCGTAACTTGTTTTCCTGTTTTGCAACAGTCAACGCTGCAACGACGCTTTGCAACGAATATACCAGCCCGAACTTATACGCGGCGCTTCCCGTCGCTCGCGATTTCGGGCTGCATTCGAATCGAATGCACCATTCTTCTTGCACGCGCGGGTCACTCGACCTCGTTCGACCCTCTCACTCCCGCGTCCCCTTCACGTGCTTTGGTGGCTCCGACGAATTCGGAATGTCACGTGCTAGATTGTATCTGCTTGCGCAACCATCGCGCCGCGTCGCCTGGCTCCGTGACTATTTCATGCGTGAAAGTCGCGATGGCGCATGTTAGTCACATAATAATGTTGAATATGAAACGGGCACAATGAGCCTAACGGAGACAAGAGGAGTCTTATATATAAATATACGTATATACGGAGTGTATGATTCACGTAAGCAACTTCGACTGAGTGGTGAGATAAAACATGCGTACAGTTAGTCAGTTGAAGACCTTGGAGCAAGCAATCTTAGGCCAGGTGTTGCAACCGGTATAATTTTGATGAACTCATGTTCCAAAGACGTACACGTATACAAGTGCGTTTTATGTTTATTCACGAGAATAAAAATACGGCAATTGGCATGCCAAGTAGATTTGCCGTACTCACGACATTCAGGATTGCACTCATCGAAACGATTATCTCTCTCAAACTATTGATCCGACCGGCTTGAACGGCCTAAAGCAATAAAAACAGACGTGTTTATTTACAACGCTTGTTTATTTGTCGGTTAATATAACATCGGAATACGTATATTCTGGGAAAAAATCGTTTCCTCTAAGCTAAAATTGCTGGCATGCTTTTCACGGAAATTATTTACACCTAACAATGAAATAAATGTCAAGTATTTAACTAATCTATGAAGTCATGCTTCTGAAAATTTACATTTACACTTGTACATATTATTTATCTTTAATCTGCACGGTTAATAATGTAAGAGATGTATATTCGTTTATGTATAATTAAAAAATGCAATAAAATTGCATCGTTATCGCTTACACGAATAGCCGGATATCGATGAAAGATAATGATATCTAATTAGCTAAATTCGAAGATAATAAGCAAGACGTGCACGTTAATCGGTTCTCGTTGCAATTTCCGATACTTTCAGCGCGCAAACGTTCGCCTACGCTTCAGCCATAACGGATTAATCGCGGGACTGACTAGCGCGTTTCGAAATTCACGTCCGTGACCTTTACCGAAGTCCGCTTCGTGTATATCGGCACTTTTTTCACTCAGATTTACTTTTATCCACTTCCTATACCTTTCTCTGTTGCGAGAAATATTCACCTCATACCGTGTATCTTGAAACACGGAATCTCGCACGAGGTCGTCTATGCATGGGTGCTCATGGAAATATTTCCAACGCTATCTTGCGCCGTCTAAATTGCATGTTCACAGCTTGCACGCATAAAGTCGAGGTATATTGCTAAAAAAAAAATCAAGGTTACTTTCGATTCATTTACTTTCACGAATATGACACTTCAATTTGCTGAAGCCGTTGCTATATTACTTTCATTGCTTTGGCTTAGGATTTTCCCTACAATATTATAATCGATAATATATACACACACGGAGAGAATTTTTTTTTTTAATTTACCCTGCAAATCATGTTAATTGTGGTACAATATAATATTAAGGTAAATTTTACTGTGCACTACAATAAATTTTACTATGCAACAATCAATAAGATTTTACAGTAAAATTTATTGTAGTGCACAGTAAAATTTGCCTAAATACTATATTGTCCCACAAGTAATTTGCAGGGTATATTAAAAAAAAAATTCTTTCCATGCATAAAACATCATCGGCTTATTACCGACAGATACGCGATTATGACTTGCGCTAAAATATTGCTGTTTTTTCGTAAATAATTGTTATATATATATAACAATTATTTACGTTTGTTATATATATATATATATATATATAACAATTATTTATGTTTGTTATATATATATATATAACAATTATTTACATAAATATATATAGTATTTCTAAGCGAATACCTTTAGCGAATCTTATAATTCTTTTAACCTTCTATGTAATTGTATTTAAAAGTTAAAACTTATGTTTTATTTTAATCGAATAAAATTAATACTTTGGAACAGTCAATATTAATTTTTGAATAATTTTCAAACAGCCGAATTATATCTATCCGTTTCATGTAAATAGAAGAGCAAACGTCTAATATTTGAACATTTTATTCTTTTTGCTTTAATTGCAGAAGTATTAATTTGATATTAGTTTCACGATTAAATTATAATTAAATCTGTACTTTATTTAATTATTATATATTGCCTGATCAAAGTGTGACAGATATACTTAATTCAGAAAGTTAATGACTTTTCTAAAGTTGCAATATACAATAAGAAACTTCTACGTAGTATCATTTCGCCTCGCAAAATGCACTATCAGAGTGCTCATAAATTACGTATGAAAAGTGCTGCAATTATTTCTGCGTTGTACTTCTTGCGGGCCCGCACTCACATGTCGCCTGCGTTATCTCTCTTAATTTCTCAAGATGTCTGACGAACGATTGCATATTAATATGCTCGGAGGAGACCTTGCTGGTCTCCATTCACCGAGTACTGGATTCGATTCGCACGGCCGTGTGGCACCACCGGAAACCTCTTTTTCTCATGCAAACGACCAATTAGCCGTACGTGCCTTCGCGATTGAGTCACGATTACTCGCGAGGACTCGCGTCGACGGTGACGACGACGACGACGACGACGAAGATACAGCGACAGCGACGACGGTGATGACTACTCGAGCGAGCGTGCGTGTATATACACTCGTGCACTTCGCTGCACGTACGTATAACGCACGCGTTGTATGCGCTGAACGATGCAATTGTGCAATCGGCGGTGTCGAGCGCACGTAGCATCCGGTGAGTAATCTTAGACAGTACGCATAGTCACGCGGCGCAACCGCAACGGACTGTCGAGAGGGGAATAGAGGGAAAAGAATTACGATGTTTTCCCCTCGATAAGCCCCCGGCCGGTCACCCAGCTCACATAACTCGATTCGCGTTTCTACATTACATGTATCGAGTTTGCTTCTCTTTGAACGAAAGAACGACGCGCGATTTTCCACGTCTTGCGCCACTTTTCATTCCTTTGTCCCAGATAGTCCTTTGACCTTTTGCGTTTTGTCGGGCGGACCGCGTAATTCTTTCAAGCAATTCGGTGCAGCAAGGACAACGTCGGGAACGGTATATATATATATATATATATATATAGGTACATCGTCATTATCGACATCTATATACCGGCAATTTGCCGGGTAAATTATTATTTCGGCGTGAATGCTAATGTCGTATTGATGCGGGGAGGCATCGCGCGTTGTATCGCGTGAGAGAGATCCTTGCGCGACGCAAAAATTCATGCAGCGCGAGGTAGTATCGCGGCGCACGCACGTGCAGCTGATAATTTGTGGTTCGCCTGCAGCAACGCGGTCTTATACCGCGGCTTCCCCGGGCCGCTTTCAAAGATGATACTGCGCGCGCGAACGCACTTCTCGCGCAACTCGTTACCTGCCCTCATTCGTTTGGTCAGTTCGGAGTACGGGCGGAAAAAAGAAGCGAGCGGGCGAAAAAGAAAAACCGGCATGCCGTCGTTAAGCAATTCCACGTACGATTATTAACGACGACCCACGCCGATATTCTCGCTTCGTTCGCGCGATGAACGACAACAGTGAGGATTCCCACAGACTCGAATTTAATTTGAAGCAATTTTTAGACGGAACTTCTTCTCGCGTCGTCTCTCGCGCCGGCCCAGCGTAACGACGACGGTGCTGCGACGGTGAAAAGAAATCGCTTTTGCGCATCGCGCGAATACGTGCGCAATAGTTCCGCGAGTGACCGGTTACGCCAGCGGTCACGTACTTCGATTATAGGAAATCACGGCGCGGGTATAATATCCACGCGCACCCGTGGACCACGATGCGTTTATGAACGCGAATTAACCGCTTCGTATTTTTACAGCCGGAAACGATATCATCCCGTTATAAGCGCGATTTAATATATTTCAAGCGCATTACTTACTTGAGTGTTAATATCTCGCCGTAGGCTATACGCGTATTACATCGAGATGAATTACAACTCGTAATTGCGCTGCAGTACAGATATACACGCGCGCGCGCAGGATATCTTGCAGTAGGGTATCTTATAATTGTAAGTATTATAGGCGAATGAAATCCGTGATGAAAAAAGATTCCTTTCTCGAAGATGTTCTTCTCGGTGCTTCCATAAAGGATATTTTCTCCGCGCATCTGTTATTAAAATTTAGATCTTCTTTAGTCGTCTCACAATCGGCAACATTGATTGCATACTCTTTGGTGAGTCACACTGTGGCAGCGTAGATATAACACGTATATACGTGTATACGTGTAGCCACGTTGCACGCGGTGTTTGATCCGAAAGACAATTGCGGCACAGCATAACATTGAAATTCCTAATACGCATAGCTGACTCGCGTACACCGCATACCTAGCGTCGACAAATAGCAACAAAAGTATTGAGTAAAACGAGATTGCACGCGAGCACGCCGACGTGAATATTTCAAGCATTCGTGACATAGCACAGCCGATATATATCCGAATCGCAAATCTCAACGTTATTTAGACGCATTTTTTTGAGTACTTTCGTATTGATTATGCATGTATATCCGCCGTGTACTCTATCTACTAATTCGACGGATAGTCTAACAGGATTTCCGTATAATTAACATTTGCATGAATGTTGTTAATGCATGCTGGTACTTGCAAATCTGTGTCCGCGGAACATCATTCATTGGCGCACACATAATGGCCACCGGAGAGAGAGAGAGAGAGAGAGAGAGAGAGAGAGAGAGAGAGAGAGAATTGTACGGCCACAAGAGATAACAGTACAACCATAGATATTTCTGCGTGAGTTGGAAGAAACTTTTAGTGGCGAGCTTAATCTCAGTTCGTACGTGTCAACTGTTGCACGATAAGACACGAAAGCTTACGATAGACGACCGTACGATTGTTTAGAGATTGGTACGTGCGCGCGAGATGCAGCTGCATGCAGCATGCACACGAGACCGCACATGTCACAAGTTATATGCAAACTGACACACTTTTTTCAACCAACAGTCTGCAACTGCCATGTTTGCGACCCTCGTCAAACGAAAGATTACAGATATTCATTGCGCATTTTGCGACAGAAATTTATACTTCATTAATATATTCAATTGACAAAATGTATGTTTGTTTTAATTATATTTTATTTTATCTACCGTTCTATATTTATATATGTATATTTATTATTGATATTACTTTTAAATTTTGATATTTACATTTACTATGTTTTTTAAATATTTTTTATCTATATCTAAAGAGATTTTATCACGTATACATAATTATATTATGCTAATCTTAACTTTCGTTCTCATCGATATTGCAAAAGATACGATATTTTAATGTATCAAAGAATTTCTTTATTTAACAATTTTCTTAGCAATTGCGACGCAACGCGCGTTTTAGAATGCGATATGCAGAAAGCAAGGATGTAAAAAGAGGTTGAAGCTGTTACGAAGCGATTGTATACATGCACACAATCGCCGTAACGATAACGACGCTCTCATGGCGATACGCAGGCGGTTATCATTAAGACCACTAGTCTTAAAGAACAGAAAAT